AAAAGAGATGACACAGAGTGAGGAGAAGACAGAAGAAAACGGAAATGGACGGGAATATCCAAGTTTTTACGCCATTATAGATATCAGTCAAACTGAGAACAGTGACGTCATTGATCTTGATGATATCTCTGAGAGTATCATTTCTGAAGTTGAGTCCATGGCGTTACCATTGCTCCAGATCGCAAACGACGCTCGCCCCTATGACGACACTGTTACCAGCGATAAAAGGGAGGTAATCCCCAGAGAAGACTCTATCTACTTCAGAGAAACGACTGGTGGCACTACACTTGCCATCAGAGAAAACAACGGGAATCGTGATTCGTTGGATGCACCTTTGCAAGCTGTAAATGAGATTCCCATCATATATTCGCTCTAACATTCCACAGTATTTCAGGTGTTGTAATTGTATTACATAAAGATTATCTAAAGATTAGTAGTATGTTATCCTAACACTGTATTTCCAATTTTGGTTGAAACACTTCTAACAATTAGGCAAAGGACTTTTCCTAGTGAATACAATGTGAAACTAATCAACGAAAATTGAACAAGTACTAACGCTCACAGTTAAAAAGAACTGATAAACTATTGCTTTCACCTAGAAATAAACTTATTTTTTCCAATGGACCAGAAATACATGCTAATGTAAGTGGTCGCATTTTGCTTAAATTTCGCCAAACACTAGCTTTGTTGAATCTCGAAATCTGGTTTCGACATTTTAATCGTTATTTGAATGGACCAACGGTCAAATACTGATATACCAAATTAAAATAGAAAGATTTCTTCCTTATCTTATTATGTGAATGAACTTAAAAAGATTACAAAGTTAAATAAATATTTTGACTGACATTGATTTTCTGTTTTTGAGATTTGAAAATTCATAACTTTACCATTTAAGTGTTTAATGATACCAAATTGTGTTTTTTTCCTGTGGTGTAATTCTTCCTTAAATGACAAATGTTTTATATACATTAAATATGCCAATCTGAATAAATACAGCTGTTCGTGATCACGTACCGCATGTATATAGCCGTAGGTAAAAAAAATATTAACATCTGATTTTAATGAGATTGTAAATATGCATAACTACTTTATCAGTCTAATCGACTATGTGTACATGTAATGAACTAACTTTTTTTGTATAACACCAACATAAGATGACATTTTATGAATATGGATGATGTAAATTACGGTATGATATTGTACATGCTTTTAGTAAAGTGTCTCACAAGTATTTTATATAGGCTGGGCATTTGATTAAAACTTATCCAAACACTTTCCTTCGCAACATACAGTTGTCTAGAGTATATCCTAGTCCTTTGGATTGCATTACATCACATACTATTATTGAATTTTGTTTCCATGTCCGTATCTAAAAGGTTTGGTATCTTATCGTGTGCTACAGTAAAAAGCTTCATAACATTGATAGAGGATTCCCCTGCATATAATTTGGTTTGATCTAATCCATAATTATAACAAAGTGTTCCTATAAGATTCCAGTTCCCTTAACCACTGGCTCTTCATCTCATAGCGAAACTCAACACGTGTATAAATTTACAATTTTATTATTTATTACAACATAGAAATAGGTACACGGCCGATATTTTACATCTACTTCAAACCCTACAACCTCATGCCTTCTTCCCTACCATCAATATACCACACCAATGACTTACGTAATCTTCAACATTACCCGACGGTTCTCGAGATTATACAAAGTAAGTAAACATGTTTTAAAGAGTATATTGGATACCTGTGTCGTCACTGGTCTACCTGTGCTGCATCACACGTTCGACCCTCGACCACAAGCTGCACGTGCACGTGATAACTCGCCACATAAGGGGAAATAATTTCCGTATAATCCACTTCGCTCAAACTACGAAAATTTAATTTTATATGACCAAAATATTAACGAAATCTCTTAAATGATCATGAGCTCATCGAGTTAACGTGTTTGATATAATCGAAAATAAGTAGATGTGTTTGAAACTAAATAAATCAATACAATTAATTTTAATAGAAATAATAGAATTTTAAAAAAGAGGTCATTAACTTGCGATACTTTTAGTTTTCCATACTCAATGTTAAGCAGGATGCATAGGTATTACACTTTAGAGTTGGTCATTATTAAGTGATTTTGATTATTATCTTGGTTCAAAAAAGGATGACGAAATCCTTTTTTAAAACGTTGATTTAAGTATATTTTTTGTCTGTTATTTTATAGATATACACGTACATGAAAGACAACACACAGACCAATGTGACCATCCCAACTGTAGACACGGGTTATGTTAGGGAATATTCCAACAAATAACAACAGACTTTCAGGGCTCTAACATCAAGCAGATTTGTTGAACATAATCAGATGAGCTGTTATTAGATGTAACGAAAAGAGATTATGAACGTGTACGATCGTTTAATTTCATATTCAATAAGAGTGATTATGGCTTGCTTGAGAATGAAAAAACAAATGGATATTAGGAAGATCGTTTATTTTTGAAAAACTTGATGTAAAGAAAACAAGCATACATTTATGTGGGGTATAATAATACGATTTATATCCCTGCCAAAAATAAACATGACGACTAGTGTGAGCTTCCCTTCCGTAGCAGCATCTTTACGTGTCACAGTTGATTTGCTATTCCAGTGTTTGTACTAAGAACCTTGAGTTCACATGTTAAAATTATGTCTACTCCAGTGACTGTCTAAGTACAGGGGGTTTAAAAGTGTATTTGCTACTCCAGATTATGTTCTCATTTTCAATTTTTATGTCACAGGTAATTTGCTTTTCCAGAACCCATTATACGTATCAAGAATGTACACGTCACTGTGGATGTACTACCTCAGACCACCTTGGTCGTGTATGAAAATCAAATACGTATAACTCAATTTAATTAATAAGTCGTAACTAGCATTAATACTAAGATTAACTATCAGATGTCTGCTTTCTTTAAAATGGCATTAAAAAGAAATATTTTCAGGTTAAAAATATATTTTTCGCTTTTAAGCCATATTGATTGTTAAATATTTTCCAGTGCAATGATTCCGGTGCAATGCCACTTTTTGGAAAATCTATATTTTAAATTCAGGAAGTCCTGCAATACTTTCATTTCAACACATTTTATTGTTTAGAAAACAAATGGATTGAACAACAGGCAAGCCTATGTAAGTCCTCTCCAATATATACCACATATATACAAGCCAGATTGAATTAAATAATAGATATCATAGACAGTATATATATAAAGAGAAATAGATTTAACATGAAAGCATTGATGGTAGGATTACACAAACATTCAGAGAGTAGAATGATTACTTCGGGTAACTTATAATAATTAAACATGTAAACATCTACTCAGGCTTATACAGACTTGTACACACATGCCTACACGTCACACACACCCTCACACACACCCACACACACACACACACAGCATCACACACACCCTCACACATACAACACATCTATATAAATTGTGTACTCAGCCTTAAACTCATACAGACTTACATACAAACATGGCTACATGTCACACACAGCCTCACACATACAACACATCTATATAAGATGTGTACTCAGCCTAAGTAAGTAAGTAAACAACATTATTACAAAGTTACTACATACATATGTCATAGTGATATATATATAATATCCAGACTATACAATAATAGAGGTCTTCAGTAAATTTCAATCATTCAATTATTATATTATAATCTCTTAAATCGTTTAGTACCATTTATAAAGTATTGGACATTAGTTAAAATAAGTTCATTAACATCCTCCGACAGGGTATTATCACCTGAAGTCAACAGAGTTGAATTAGAATAACATTTCATGAATTAAATACCCAGAATTAGAGTAATTAGGACAAGTAAAAGAATAATGATCAGTATTTTCAGTAGAGGAACCACAGGCACAAACTGGATCTTGAATAAGATGATCTATAAGCGTATGATGATTCAAGTCACTTCCATCCTTTCTTAATTGGCACAAAATAATATTTAATTTTCCTGGGCTACAATTTTTAAAAGTATCAGAAACAGCTTCCATAGGATTAGCTATAGTATTATTAATATTCCTTGCAATACTTTTAACTTCCCATACATAAATGTATACAAGGAGATATTACACTTCAAAGTTGGTCAACTAAGTGACTAAGAGATTATTTTCTTGATCCAGAAGTAATTGAGGAAAATCATTTCCCATAAGTTGAGTTTTGCAAACTTTTTTCTGTTATCATATAAATCTACATAATTATGAAACAATAACTAAATAAATTTAGATAAATAAACAAAACAATCTGTATCATTTAGCTTGATATCTAACAGAATTAAAGCCGACATCAGCTGGATAATCAAGCTGATGTCGGCTTTCATTGTGTTTCGGTCATAGCTCCTCTCTGATTTTTATCTTTTCCTATCGATTACTGAGTTAGGATTTTCTCGTGTGTTTGTTTGGACGTCGTGTTGTGGATTCATAGTGGTGATGATAAGGGCACACCGTGAAAGGGGACAGTTTTGTGTGTGGAAATGTTCACGAAAATTTCCACTGTTCCAGTATTTAGCTATCAATAGTGTCGCCACTTTTTGCATATATATACAAATTGTTCTTGTCATTAATATTTGTGTAGATAACGGTTGAAATAAGTCCTGTAACAATAGTTTTTATGCAGTCATACACTGTAGTCTATTCTTATTTCATCTCAATTTTACCGGTATTAAAACACCGTAAAGTTAAACTATATAACTAATCATCACAAAAAGATGATTTTATATCGGTCACAACGTCCTATAAGCGTTAAATAGACGTTTAAAATAAGTCCTATACTTCTGTTTCGTTCGCATCTTACCTGTGTTGACCCACTGTAAATTAAAACTGAGCTTCACAGAAAATAGTTATACAAACCATGAGCGGTTCAGTGATCGATGCAACGTAACAGCTGCAAGGTCTTGATCATCCCTTCTTTCTTTGTCAGACGTCAGATTTGTCGATATTTGGGGATGACGAGGCTCTGACACACGTCGACAACAACACGTGTGCACTTCTAACGTAAACATCGGCATTTATATCATTATATCTAAGCGTGATAATATAGAAGTGAGGTAAAACTTGGTGGACCGTGATACATTGATATACACATTTTGTTGACATTAATTGTACAAAATCACAGATACATATAAGGATTTTAGGCCGGTGACAATGTGGTTGGAGTGGTTCAGAGGGACTGTGGCTATAGTTATACTGGAGTGGTCAGTCCATGGGAAACCTACCATAGACAGTATGTATATTTAACTTTGAACATGTAAAAATAACAAAGGTTCAATATATATGATCACATAGAATCATGCAGATAAAGTTGTTGATTTGGTTCTTCGTGAATTTTATTAATGTAGCGATTGTTTTATTCACATTTAATTTTACTGATTGGCACATTAATACGAACGAGACGTTTGTATTCGTATGTGTTTAACCGTTCGAAATATTAGCTCATCGTACCTACAAAGTCCCTACATTTATATTGGAGATGAATAGCTTGTTCCTCTGTTCCTCCTGATCTTCTGGGGTTTATTTTAAACGTTTTTGATTTAGATAACTAATTTCGTAAGTCCCCAAACGTTTGTTATAAGATGGCTACATTACAGATAGCACGTCCCCTGGTGTTTATGATAACAATGCGTTGTTGTAGATACAAACGTTGACCCCACCCCTTCCTGTTTTATGCCCGTATTTTACAGTAGATATCACATATTTGTATCATTTTGGATTTGTTATAAATATGTTTTACTTGTGTAACATCTTTACGTTTCCTGGAGTTATTTAATTTGTATATTGTACAGAAGATATTTACACTATATATTACTTTAACTTCTCTTTATAACTGTATTACACAATAGAAACCTTATTTCCGCTGCACTTCTAAGGGAAGCCCGAGTTTCCTCTGGCCCTAACAACAGACTTAGACATTTTGACATATAGATGTCTGGATATAAGTCTGGTGTTAGGGCCAGAGGAAACTCGGGCTGTTCTAACGATGAAAAACATTTTCTTATGTTAAATAAGGAATTTGTTATGAATGTTCTTCTGTAGATAATATGATTCGGGTAATCTTTAAAAGCATCTTTTAACTGTTAATATTTTTATTCTTTTCGCCATGCGGTTTGTTATAAACATTATTTACTATAGAGAATATATCTCAAGAGTTCTCATAGATGTTTTTACTGTTTAATTTCCCACGACCCTGAGATCTGTTACGAACATGATCGATGTACTGTAGAGAAAGTCTCAGAGGTTCGCATAGAGCTGTTTTACTGTAGAGAATGTCTCCGAGTTTCTCATAGAGCTGTTTTACTGTAGAGAAAGTCTCCGAGTTTCTCATAGAGCTGTTTTACTGTAGAGAATGTCTCCGAGGTTCTCATAGAGCTGTTTTACTGTACAGAAAGTCTCCAATGTTCCCATAGAGCCTTTTTACTGTGAAGAATGTCTCCAATGTTCTTATAGAGCTGTTTTACTGTAGAGAAAGTCTCCGAGGTTCTCATAGAGCTGTTTTACTATAGAGAAAGTCTCCGAGATTCTCATAGAGCTGTTTTACTGAAGAGAAAGTCTCCAATATTCCCATAGAGCTGTTTTACTATAGAGAATGTCTCCGAGGTTCTCATAGAGCTGTTTTACTGTAGAGAAAGTCTCCGATGTTCTCATAGAGCTGTTTTTACTGTAGAGAAGGTCTCCAATGTCCTCATAGAGCTATTTTACTGTAGAGAAAGTCTCCGAGGTTCTCATAGAGCTGTTTTACTGTAGAGAAAGTCTCCGAGGTTCTCATAGAGCTGTTTTACTATAGAGAAAGTCTCCGAGGTTCTCATAGAGCTGTTTTACTGTAGAGAATGTCTCCGAGGTTCTCATAGAGCTATTTTACTGTAGAGATTAAATAAACATGATTTATTGTACTTAATATATCTTTGTGGTTCTTATAGATATGTTTTACTGTAGTTTAGATATTTAATTTCTAATTGGTCTAAGATTTGTAAATAACATGTTTTACTGTAGAGGTAAATTTATTTTGTCCCGGAGAATTGTTATATACATGTTTTACTGTAGAGATTTATTTCTTATGACCCTGAGATGTGTTATACACATTTACTGTAGAGAATGTCTTTTGGTTTCTCATAGGGGTTTTTAATGTGGAAATCTATTTTTCATAAACCTTCTTCTACACAAAGTTTTCGGTAGAGAACATGTTTCTTGGGATTTCTTGAGATGTGATTTTCTATTATGATCAAATGTCTCATGTTCCTGATGTTTTTTAGGAATATGATTTAACAGTAGTGAATCCTCCTCAGGAATTAACGCGAATATAATCATATTGCTTACTGAAATACATTTAATATTAACCAGGTAAAGTGTATTTTGCATATACGTAAAGTTTACATCAGGTATATTGTATTGATCTGTTATTGCTAATCTTAATGGTATGGTTGTTCTTGTGTATTTATATAGAACAGCTGGCTGGCCCGTGTGCGGATGCTGCCGATCCGATGGCGTGTTTACATGGGATTCTTATGCACGGTGACAAAAACAAAGGAGAGACACACGAAGCGGAGGATGCATACCTTAAGTTCAGATCCAATCTAGCAGCAGGCGCAAAGGTCAAGGTAGGACCTTCTGACGCAGAGGAAATGTTCCATGGCGTTTTAATGCACGGTGATGACGAAACGAATATCGCACATGAGCACAAAGACACTGCCGAAGTAAAGCCTGAAAATCCTACCAAAATCAACCTTCCTCAAGACATCGAAGATTACATGCATGGAGTGCTGATGCATGGCGATGACGAACCAGGGATTGACCACAAGAAAGATCACCAAAAACTCAAACAAGATGAAGGTCAGGGTTCAAATGTTCCTAAAGGACCTGATGACCTGGACAACATGATGCACAAACTCATGCATATCGATGGCAACACAACACATGACCACGAGAAAGATGGCGGACAGGCCGCTGTAAAGGGACCAGAGGATCTTGACGACATGATGCACAAACTCATGCATAAAGATGGAGACATATCACATGATCATGAAAAAGAACACGATACCGACGTCGATAAAGGTCCAGCCGACCTAAACGACATGATGCATAAACTCATGCATGCGGATGGGGACATTTCTCATGATGACGAGAAAAATGGCGACAAAAAGCATGATTCACAATCTATCAAAGGAACGGTGGCTGACATGGATGATATGATGCATCGTCTGATGCACAAAGATGGAGACATATCACATGATCATGAAAAAGAACACGATACCGACGTCGATAAAGGTCCAGCCGACCTAAACGACATGATGCATAAACTCATGCATGCGGATGGGGACATTTCTCATGATGACGAGAAAAATGGCGACAAAAAGCATGATTCACAATCTATCAAAGGAACGGTGGCTGACATGGATGATATGATGCATCGTCTGATGCACAAAGATGGAGACATATCACATGATCATGAAAAAGAACACGATACCGACGTCGATAAAGGTCCAGCCGACCTAAACGACATGATGCATAAACTCATGCATGCGGATGGGGACATTTCTCATGATGACGAGAAAAATGGCGACAAAAAGCATGATTCACAATCTATCAAAGGAACGGTGGCTGACATGGATGATATGATGCATCGTCTGATGCACAAAGATGGAGACATATCACATGATCATGAAAAAGAACACGATACCGACGTCGATAAAGGTCCAGCCGACCTAAACGACATGATGCATAAACTCATGCATGCGGATGGGGACATTTCTCATGATGACGAGAAAAATGGCGACAAAAAGCATGATTCACAATCTATCAAAGGAACGGTGGCTGACATGGATGATATGATGCATCGTCTGATGCACAAAGATGGAGACATATCACATGAACACGAAAAAGATGGGGATTTAGGTTCCGAAAAAGCTGATGGACCTGTGGACCTGGAGGATATGATGCATAAAATGATGCATAAAGATGGCGACACGTCACACTCCAATGACAATAACGGACATGACCAGCTGACTGGAAAGATTGGACCTAATTCAGATGACCTTCACGGTATGTTGATGCACGGAGATAAAGAAACTGGGCACGTGCATGAACACACGAGTAGACAAAGACCATTCAAGATGGACAAATACGCAATACGGAATCTTAACATCGATGAAGACATCTTGAAATCCGTAGGGTTGGAGTCAATCCTTCAGGATCTTGAGGACTATGATCAATGGAAAAAGAACAATGCCAAGAAAGTTGATGCCGAACTTGACGATATCTCGGATAATATTTTGTCTGATATTGAGTCAATGAAAAGGCGCTATCTCAAAAGGGCACGTGAAATCGATCCCAAGAAGATTACTGGGATTACCGAGAAGGAGGCTTTGGATCACATGGAGAAAACCTCTGGTCATGAACACCTGGGTGACGACGCAACACATAACCTTGAATTGATTGGTAGCACGGGGCCAATCAGCGAGCGCCACAAAGTTTTTAAAGAGGGAAAATCTTCCGATGATTTATAAAGTCTTAAACCATCCGCGTTTTGTAAATGAATACATTTGCTGTGAATAATAATCTCGATATTTTATATTATTTACACAATTTATTATTTTGTTTTATAAAAACAATATCTACTAAAATTAAGGCGCTTTCGATTGTATATGTTAACAGAAGGCAGTAACTTTGCATTTCAAACATGTTACAGGTGTCGCTTGTGGAGGCTTTATTAGAAGTGAAAATCTTGTAGAACGCTTGATACAGTTGTTACTTTTAATCTCGCTTAATAGTGACATTATAACAGGCTTCTTGCAAAGGGCACTCTAAGAAGCTTGTTACAAGTGGCGCTCTAACGAGCTTGTTTGTTGCAAGTCGCAATCTCAAATACTTGCTCAAAGTGACATTCTCACGTGATTGATATAGGTGGTTCTCTCACTAACTTGTTACATGTGACACTCTCACGAGCTTGATACAAGTGGCACTCTCACAAACTTGCTACAAGTGGCTCTCAAAAAAACTAGGTACAAGTGGCACTCTCACAAACTTGCTACAAGTGGCTCTCTATAAGTCTTGTTAAAAGTGGCACTCTCACAAGCTTGATACAAGTGGCCCTCGAAGAAGATAGCTATAAGTGGCACTCAAGGAAGCTAGCTACAAGTGGCACTCTCACAAGCTTGCTACAAGCGGCACTCTCACAAGCTTGCTACAAGCGGCTCTCAAAGAAGCTAGCTACAAGCGGCTCTCAAAGAAGCTAGCTACAAGTGGCACCCTCAAAAGCTTGTTACAAGTGGCACTCTCACAAGCTTGATACAAGTGGCTCTCGAAGAAGCTAGCTACAAGTGGCACTCTCACGAGCTTGCTACAAGTGGCTCTCGAAGAAGCTAGCTACAGGTGGCACTCTCACAAGCTTGATACAAGTGACATTCTTACATGATTGATACAAGTGGCACTCTCCAAGCATTGTTACAATTAACACTTAAAGAGTGTACGGGATTGTTACAGTTGGCACTCTTGCAGGCTTCTTACACGTGGCATTCTTGCGGGAGGTTTGTTAAAATTGGTGCTACAAATTCAAGGCATGTTATATTACCGGTAGCATGATAAAGACACATAGCAACACTTAGTCAGATACATTTGCTAATAATTTTATTAACAAATCAATAATCTTATGTATAAATGTATGGTATAATATACAATTGATGAATATATATACATGTATATATGTAAAGTGATGAATTTGTGACTTAATTCAATTTCATTTTAATAGGTCATGCATTAGTCTATGGGGTACCCTAGCATTCAAAATTACCATTTGATAATCTTATCAATATCAATATCATAAAGAAAAGCTAAAACTAATATAAAAAGAAGCACAATGTGACGAGGTTGAAGTCTGACATGGAGTCACACAAAATTTAAGGGAAGAGAGATATTTTCTAAGGTCAAATAAATTCTACTTTTCAATTGCAAGTATTCCTCTTATATTGAATTTATACCCAAGAAGTCAAAACAATTTCATATGCAACAAGCATTAAAAATAAGTAACATTTTCCAACGGTTTAAAAATTTAAGTTAGGTATGCAGGAGAGCATGATCTTGCTTCTCATTAGCAAAACATTTTTACACAGGAAAAGTGTTTTTCATTCAAAATCAGAGTTGTAAGTTTCCTCTAAGAGATTTTTAGACATTACCATTATACTAGAGGTTGACTATATGTGGGTTGTTTGGTGTAAAATAATTATTCAATTTCTGACACAGCCTTACAGAATGCTCCTGACTTCTTGCTTCACCAGCCAAGCATATATTCCTGATATTCCTGGGGTTACACTCACTTTCGCTCTCAGCACCCCTTGAATATGTCATAGCAAATCTGAAGGCACAAATAGATCTTTTTGATTGATCTCGGGTAACAAAAAAACCCTGACCAATCGCTAGGCTGATACCTGTCCTTTGAAGATGACAGAGCGACACCCGACTTCAAAGTCAGTCAATTTTTATCGTTACGCCACCACAAGATTCTTCTGATGTACATCGAAGGATCAAACTTGTCTTGTCTCATTCACAACATAGCGCACACTCACTGAGCCTTCAATTTTGTCATGACATATTCCAGGGCTGCAGAGAACGTAAATAAGCATAACCCCTGGAGTATTGAGGATTCCAACCAGATTGTCAGAATATGTTATCAGATGATGTTAAACAACAGTGTGACGTTGTTGTGTTACAGAATGATACTGGCTAAAACAATCTCAGTATTAATCTAACAACCATAAAGTTAAACAAGGCACAGAAATCACCAACAGAATTAAAATCTGCAAAGTTGGATAAAACACGGAACTGAGTAACCAACATTAACCTTTAGAATCATATTTTCAAAAATTAAAACATGATATGTAGAAAATGTATAACAATAGCAGTTCAGATATTAACAGTGAACAATTTATGTACAAGTAATGAAATACAAATAAGGTACATCAGACAACGGTTAAAAGGCAAATATGTATCACAATTACAATGAAATATCAGACATCTTAAAACATAAAAAGAATAAAAACCTAACTCATTGATGTTTGGACGGACAAATGGCGAGTAGGTGAAGGCAACAAAAGTTTCGAGATTCTGTCAAGTAGCATATAAAGGTATTTTATACATATACAAGCTGTACATTGTACGTTGCATACTGGTTCACATACTTAACGGAGTAAAAATTATTTCAAAAGTTATATAGAGTAACAATTCTTTAACACATTCTTATCAATAACTTGCTGACGATTAGTCTGTCATAGTTTCAAGATTACCTTTGTTTTCGCTTGCATAGATTCTGAATAATAAACATTTGTAAATGTATATATTGTAGTTTCAAACCCCAGGTTATTTACTGAGGTTACGCAGTATTATCAGGGGGGAAAACTTTACATTCTGAGCAGTATCAGCTGAAAATCTGCAACAGTTTCTGCATTTGCAAAGTATGTACATTGTGATAAGATTTTTCGTTCAGGTCAAAATGGTTTCATTCAGCATACTTCATTGAATTTGTCATTTTCATTCGGTATACCTATAATGACAGTTTATAAACTCCAATTGAAATCATTTTCATTCTTATATTTACTATTTTTAGAATATTTTATTTAACCTTACAGAAAATAATATTCATCTATTATTCAAATTAAGCATATAGTTCAAATGAAATAAATATCATGTATGCTTGTTTCTGAACTGCATGTTTCCTGCAAAAATACAAAGTCGCAAAATTAGTAGGAATTCAATCTAACAATAAGCAATGCCATTAGATCTGAAATCTGTAGAACTGACCAAAAATGACGTACAGTATTGAATTTCATGCAACACTTTTTCACAGCTGACAAACTAACACTATACACTGTATATATGGAGGGAATCAACTAATATCAGAGCATTCACAAGAGGCACTAACAAAATAAATTCTGCAATAAGTCACAACATTTAAAAGTTTCGGAGCATCTTTTTTTAATTTAACTTTACAACACTTAAAAAACTTCCGGCACGAAAAAAATTAAATCCGAATTTCACAACATTTGTGCTGAAAAAAACATCACATATATTTAAAGATAACAAAATATCTGCTTACATGAAAAGTAGATTATGTACAAATCTAGCTTATTCATTTTAAAAATATCATTCTTATTATCACAAAATCCATGTTAAGTAGGGCTGCAATGATATATATTGTATCATATCATATTGCGATACTTTTTTGTGTATCGTATCAAGTTGTTTGTTTGCCTGTAATGCGATACACTCACAGTATTTCAATTCCAATCAGATTTGATCAAACACTAAAAAAGTTGATTCTTATTTTTTGATCCTTCAGTAAAGATGCGGTCAACAGTGCAGTCATACCCAAAACTACTAGAATGTTAACAAATTACATAGATAGTATTCAATATTGGAGTCGTTGTCAAAGCTCGATAATATCCTGCACTCAATCATTATGAAGTTGACCTTTTAATTAAGCCGATATTTGTATCGCAATACCTATCGTATTGTAAGCATCGTACTGTGATATGTATTGTCTCGTTAGATATGGGTATCGTTGCAGCCCTAATGCTAAGTTGTATACACGGAGACCTTAACTGATCATTCCTGTTGTTATTGTAGTAAGTAATCACGCCGACTGATATGTACTGGTACGTTAAACCACAGGACGGAGTGATAACAGTCGAGTACGTTAAAATAATGTAGATATATTTAAACTGAATGTATCTTCTGAAAATCTGTTGTTATGTATAAGGTTATGTCTGAATGTGAAAATTCACAAAATTGGAAGGAACTATTTCAAAAATGCATACAACATCCAAAACCATGTATCATCATTAAACCTTGTAAAACCTTGTAAAACGTTCACAGCATCAAAAGATATGTTTGTTAGTTTGTTTTTATTGTAATGCACAAACTACTTTCATCTAAATTTCTTCACCATGCAAATTATATCATCAAATGATCACTAAATGACCATAATTTTGAAAACATCTGAAAATGTATTATTACAATCTATCAAATTCAGTTAATTGTGAACTAAGGCTTATTGTAAAATATACCGGTGGTAACTATATCACATTCTTTACATTTAAATTGGCAAATGTCAAAAGCACTATCTTGGCCAATGCACTTTATGTGATATAAATAGATTGAATAAATTAAGTTTATTAAGTTTATGAAATAAAGGCATGCTTTTGAAAACTTTATGTGTATAAAGTTATATTCAACAAAAAAACATAGTGAATTCTTTTTTTTTTAACATAATTGAAATTTCATTGGGGCATATTTTTGTGACACAACATGAATAATTTACATGCATAATATTACATTCACTGATATGTTTGAAATGTCTAACACATTTTACATAATATCTTGTGCTTTCTAGAGCTGCTATCTAAATATAGTGTGATATATTTACAATTGTATTTGTAATGACGACAGCACAGGAAAAACATGTTGAAAAGGTCATTACAATATTTCTGCTGTAATTGCAAGTGAATGGCCTTGCTTACAAAATTTACAGCAAAAATAAATAAAGGCAATTGTAACTCATGCCTGACGCCATAAAAGAGTTAAACGATAGACTTAACTGTCATTGCTGCCAATATAAATTACAGACAATACAGTTCTAGAGCATAGAGCTGTTATATGTTTTTTCACAAAAACTGAAGTGCTACTTATAATTATGTACTTTTGGCCATTTGCTTAAAATATATCAAAATGAATGTAAACATATACACTCTGATGTATCTAGAGCTCATCTTTATGTGGGATACCCAAAAGTGTTTAAGTAATGAAGAAATACCTGCTTAGTCTCAAAAGCAGCTATTATAAGTTAACGAGCCATAATCAGGTGGCAATTCTCTCGTCAAACAAGGTATACTGGACGGTATTCTTTAGCACAAACTAATCTCACAGACATTGAACCTTTTCACCACTGTAGACCATAATGGACTCATCCAGATAAATGTATGGTAGAGTCTACTAATGTTACCTAGGGCTGAAAGGGTTAAAAATGAAGGCAAAGTGTATAACTGTCTTAATGTAAGTTCTCCTGCTGAACTTGAGGTACCAATATGTTCTAGTTTCTCTGTGTAGGAAGGGTGTTCGTCCCCGTACCAAAAATTGTAGTTTCTCAGTGCAGGGGGTTTGTCCATCCCTTGCTATTTGGTGTCTAGACTCACGCATCAGGAAGACACAGAACATGATTATTTCACAGACTTGAATCGGTATGGCTCTGCTGGCCATGGAGAGGTGCTAGTTGTGGATATGCATGAGGAAATTGAAATGGCAAGTAAGGTGATCTCAAGTCTATATGTTGTCCAGGTCTAGCTCGTCGTCCGAACTCACATCCGTCACACTGACGAACGATCCCCTGCCTGCAGCAGACCCTGCAGGCACAGTACTGGCACCTGCAGAAGAATACAATATCAAGACTTACACATCTACACTTTTATATACAGATTGCTAGTTTTGCAGTCAATCATAACAAATGTATCTCAGGAGGAAAATGCATGACCCTTTAATGACATACACAGATCTTGTTCAATTTCAAACTTTGCCTTTGTCTTTATATAATGTAAATATTGACCAAGTTTTATCAGAATCCATCATAGTAATTTTTTCACAAAGTTATTGTGTGGAAACCATTGACCAATCAGACTGCAGTACACAAATTAGTTCAGCTTGGAGTTTTGCCCTCCCTCTTTGTATATTGAATGTGCTTACCAAGTTTCTTCAAAAATGAACAATTATCTTATCTTGCAGAAACCAATGTGTAAATGCTGACCAATCAAAGTGCAGTAGACTAATGCTAATTAATTATGCACAGGTTTTGCTCATTCTCCGACTTAGTTTTTGTATATTACCCTATGAATTGCCTAGTATGTCCTACCTTTAGATGAGGATCCCCAAACACTGGTTCCGTAAGTGTTGGTAGTGTCCGAGGCATGGCTTCCTCTTACTGGCGTAGGAGCTTTCCTGTTGAGGAAAATTAGGTTCACAGTTAACTTAACTACACTACGTATGTACATACTTAGACAAAATACACACAAATTGATTTTAAGACATTTTGAATTCACTATATAGCTCTAAAATCTTTTAATAAAACCTTGTTTTTGGCTTTAGTGGTATCAAAAACCCAACCTACAGCATTGCATAAACTAAATAAGTTCTGATTCTAAATATCAATATCACATTAGTTAATTGGGTTCACGTTATAAGTCATGTATGTATGTAGCAAATCTTGGACTGTATGATATACAACCTTTGACTGACTTCAGCACCTTTCCGTTGTGAGTAGACCAATATTTGACTTACTTTGGAGCAGCTTTACTTTGTGAGTAGACCAATATTTGACTTACTTGGGACCAGCTTTACTTTGTGAGGGTGACCAATATTTTACTTACTTGGGAGCAGCTTTACTTTGTGAGTAGACCAATATTTTTCTTACTTGAGAGCAGCTTTACTTTGTGAGTAGACCAATATTTGACTTACTTGAGAGCAGCTTTACTTTGTGAGGGTGACCAATATTTGACTTACTTGGGAGCAGCTTCACTTTGTGAGTAGACCAATATTTGACTTGCTTGGGAGCAGCTTTACTTTGTGAGGGTGACCAATATTTGACTTACTTGAGAGCAGCTTTACTTTTTGAGGGTGACCATTATTTTACATACTTGGGAGCAGCTTTACTTTGTGAGTAGACCAATATTTGACTTGCTTGGGAGCAGCTTTACTTTGTGAGGGTGAGCAATATTTTACATACTTGGGAGCAGCTTTACTTTGTGAGTAGACCAATATTTTTCTTGCTTGAGAGCAGCTTTACTTTGTGAGTAGACCAATATTTTTCTTGCTTGAGAGCAGCTTTACTTTGTGAGTAGACCAGTATTTTACTTACTTGAGAGCAGCTTTATTTTGTGAGGGTGACCAATATTTTACTTTGTGAGTAGACCAATATTTTACTTACTTTGGAGCAGCTTTACTTTGTGAGTAGACCAATATTTTTCTTACTTGAGAGCAGCTTTACTTTGTGAGTAGACCAGTATTTTACTTACTTGAGAGCAGCTTTATTTTGTGAGGGTGACCAATATTTTACTTTGTGAGTAGACCAATATTTTACTTACTTTGGAGCAGCTTTACTTTGTGAGTAGACCAATATTTTACATACTTGAGAGCAGCTTTACTTTGTGAGGGTGACCAATATTTGACTTACTTGAGAGCAGCTTTACTTTTTGAGGGTGACCATTATTTTACTTACTTGGGAGCAGCTTTACTTTGTGAGTAGACCAATATTTGACTTACTTGGGAGCAGCTTTACTTTGTGAGGAAGACCAATATTTTACTTACTTGAGAGCAGCTTTACTTTTTGAGGGTGACCATTATTTTACTTACTTGGGAGCAGCTTTACTTTGTGAGTAGACCAGTATTTTACTTACTTGAGAGCAGCTTTATTTTGTGAGGGTGACCAATATTTTACTTTGTGAGTAGACCAATATTTTTCTTGCTTGAGAGCAGCTTTACTTTGTGAGTAGACCAATATTTGACTTACTTGGGAGCAGCTTTACTTTGTGAGTAGACCAATATTTGACTTACTTGGGAGCAGCTTCACTTTGTGAGTAGACCAATATTTGACTTGCTTGGGAGCAGCTTTACTTTGTGAGGGTGACCAATATTTGACTTACTTGGGAGCAGCTTTACTTTGTGAGGGTGACCAATATTTTACTTACTTGGGAGCAGATCTAGTAGGTGAAATGTCCTCTTCAACTGAGGACACATCCCAGTTACTGTCAGATTCCTCCTGAAAATTATAAAATGATTTAAATCAAGCTATTATTTCACCATTTTGTTTCAACACTGTTCCAAAGTACAATTATTGAAAATCAATTTAAATTATTGTGAAATGTACCAAAGAAAATCATTGGATTATTACTGTTGATTTAAACTAACACATAACTTCACATATACTGCAAACTAATAATTACACTTGATTTAAATCAGTAAACTGGTAAGTTGTTGAAGTTTCCAGCACAGATTTTGTATTAACTTACCTATTCACCCCTGAAGACACATTTGAACTCTTCCAGTTCAAAGATTGGAATAGTTCATTACAAACTTTCAGGGGTGAATCAGTTAATATAGTGACAAGTGTGTGTCATGATAGCAGTAATAATTACCTCTGCGTTCTTTCCTCGAGCCATCATATCAACTCCTCCTGCAGGTTTTGCTGCTTTCCTCCCCTACATCAGCAAACATAAATTAAAGAAGTCTTCAAAATTAATGAATAAATGCATTTGTTTACAGAAAATAATCCAATATGCATTACCTGCAGTGATATTTAGACAGAAATCAGTCCTAGTATTTAATTATTCTTTTTTAGGATGTATGGTAACTTTCTAAATTTTGCCCTTACAATTGATATATTTAACATAGCAACAGCAAACCCATCAAACCTGACTTAACTCATTCACCCCTGATTTCATAATGAACTATTCCAACCTTTGAATTGGAAGAGTTCAAATGTATCTTTAGGGATAACATGAGTTAAAACAGTAAATGAAATAAAATGATATGATTTATCACACTGTATCAATGGCTATCATCCCCTTGGTTTTGAAAATAGTGAATTGTAATATATAAAGAGTATAAAAAAGTAATTTTTATGTATATATAAAACAAACATTTTTTTATTTGCAACAATCCTTTAAGTAAAAGTCGGGAATTAATTCATTCCTATCAGACCTGTTGAGACAATATTATCACATTTAACATAGGGATAATTGGTTTATACACAATACAATTATAACAAGAATAACACAGAGGACCTGTACAACTTACAGCTAACTGGAATTCAATAGAGCGGGACAGCTCTGCGACCTTTTGACCCTTGGGTTGTACATTGGATAGTCCTCTGGAAGGCACACTGCTAGACCTCTGAATGGCTGGCTTACCAAATCCTCCCTGGTCCATTTCACTTAAGGAAAAAACACACACAAATTACATGCCTTTTCAATGTTCAAGTTAGTCTTACAGCACAAATGCCACAAATCTTACTTCCCAATCAACTGTAATAGATGAGACCAGTGTTTGCTCCCCATTAGTGCCATTTAATTCAGATTTGTCATTATTTGTTTGATGACAAACTTAATCCACAGGCAAAGTATGTGTGGGGGAACCAGTGAGAAATATTCAGTACCGACAGTACCAGTCTGGTGTTTGTCACCAAATCAGCAGTCATGACCACATATTACCGATTTTAATCATTTTAGTAGATAAATATTGTGTCACCAAAAAAAATATTGCCGAGCTAAACTTGTCGCCAAATCTGAAAAACTGCCACCATTTGGCAACTTGGCGATCGTTAATGCTAGCCCTGCTCACCAAAAATTAATACTTGAAGAGCATGGTGGACATGTCTAAATTATTAACCATCCCCTATAAGTTTGTTTGTCATCAAAGAATCTTACATCAGGTTTCAAATAGCATATCGAAAGTTCCTGAGAAGATGAAAATGTGAAAGCTTATGGCTTTATGCTGTATGCTAGGTGACCTTAATTTCAACAATTTCAAATTTTTGTTTGAAGTATGTAAAAGCCAGGAAATTAATTTATTTTGAAATGAAATCTCTACTTGATTAGTTATTGTAAATCAGTGTTCAAAATGTTGATGAATCTCATTACTTAAAGACATTGTGGCCTCTCAAAATGTGGGCAAGTCCCACAGGGAAACCATGGTCTTTAAGGACTCAAACATATGTGTCCTAAAACCACTGACAACCTAAATAATAAGTACCTTTCATCATCATCCCAGTCATCCTCCTCATCATGTAAAGGTTTGGAAATTACAGTTTTAACCTGCGGGCCAGCAGTGCGACCCACTGGCGCTGTTCGGTGGGGTGACATCCTGGGTTTTGGCGTTGGAGAGATTTGACGAGGACCTGATTGAATTTGTCGTACATGTTGAAAGGCTGGCTCGTCTTCACTTTCCTCATCGTCATCGTCTGAATCCCATTGTGTGCTGGTCCAGTCTACACTGGATCTGTCGGGTAAAACCGATTCAGGGTATAAATATTATTTTAAACATAACACTTCCAATTATATTTCAATTACATTTAAATGCATTTTAAGACTATCGTATTGTGGGAAGTCATTTTTTTACTATGTCCCAGGTCACAGTGATGTTATTTTCAAACTTTGATTCATGAAACATTACGATAATGCTTTTTCTCAATAAAATCAAGCAATGTTGAATGGGAATAAATTTACTACTTCTACTTGTTTAGAAGTTATCATTACCTGCAAAACATTTTCAAATATCATTGCAGTGTTCTATTTAGAAGAATTCATGCTTTAGAAAATTTGTGAAGTTGTCATGTTGTGAAGGATGAGACATACCCAGTGCGTCCCCCACTAGTTGTTCCAGTTGACTGCATGGTGCGCTGTGGGCTCGGTACCCTCGGTTGGGGTTTGGGGACAGGGGGTTGACCGGGTCGAGAAGGGTTGCCTTTTCCAGGTGATTGTGGTGTCCTGCGGGGACCTCCAGACTGGCTAGGTGGGCTGAGGCCTTGTTGTCTCTGGGGGCTTGTGGTCCTTGATCCAGCTGTAATAAAACGGTGCAGATTTTAAAACACAGTGAAAATGTATACAACTTAAATTTAAAGATAACTATTCACATCTTTACCCTCTGCATCAATGATATCATACTACAATAAAGTAAAATAAAATAAAATTATGGGTGATCCTGTGGCGCAGTGGATAACGTGGACTAGCCTTTTATCAAGGTGGCCTGGTTCGGGTCCATGATCAGACGTGAAAAGGTATGGGGTCACCTGCCTTACTATGTGGGTTTTCTCCAGGTACTCTGGTTTCCTCTCACATTAAGACCCCCTGAGCGTTAACATCCCGGCCAACAAGAGTAATTGATATAAGTTATATAACTTGTTTCATAATTGTTGTAAAATAAATATACTTTATATTTATATAAACGAAATAGCCTAAAATGTTGTTTTAATGTGTCAATTTAATCAGTGGATAACAACCAATGAATTCCAGTCAAAAAAGAGTTATACTACTGGGGTCCTGGGGTAATACAATATCACGCATTATCACAGCGTGAAATACAGGACCATATATTGTACGGCATAGAAGCTGGCTGTACAGCTATAGCAAGGTTCACCAGGTATGTAATTCAAAACATTATATTCAATTTAGCCCTACTTTAGAATCTCTGAACTAAAACATTCACCATGATTTTAGCATTGTGTATACCAACTTTTTATATAAAAAAAACTGACACAGATTTCCTGAGGACTCTCACCTGGAGATGTGACAGGAGAACGCTTCATTTCCTTCAGCCTTTCTTTTGCCTGCTGTTCTGCATAGGCATTACACTGTCGTCGAAACTCGGGAAAGATTGGATATTTCTGCAGGTCAAACAGAAAAAAAGTAGATTGGTAATGTGATAGCTACATTTCAGGCAAAACTAATCATTCTTACTTTTAACAAATGATCATGGAAGGGTAAAATTTTGAAATAAAAATTTTGAGATATGTGACAAACTTTCAGTACATAAACACAATAAACCTGTTATGTTAATTGATTCATCTTCATTTGATGAATAATTAAAAAAAAAATAGGGGGAGAAGGGACTTTTGTGAACCTTTTACTCTCTGAAATCCAATATATAACTGGTGACAATTATTTAAGAACCTACGGCATCATATGCTATCATTTATGTCCTTTTTAAAAAAAATATTTACCAGTGAAAATTCTTCAGACAATTCAAATGTTAAACTACTAGTTTACATTACATGTACTATTAAACAAGATCTGTATCTTAAATCAACAATGAAATATGACCATTACATTACACAACATTCCCAAAGTTGTTGCTTTTCTATTACTGAATGCACTGTAGGTCTGTTAATTGATGACCTTGTAAATTACCTCCCTTTGATAAGTGATCAATCCCATTGTACCCACCTGTACTGTAGCCTGTCGTCGGGTTTTCAAAAGGCCCATTTTACTCAGAAGAACATCATTTGGAATGCCTCTCATCTCCTGGGAAACAGAAAATTAGACAATTTTATTTTTTTATAAAGGTAATAATACTATGCATGAATTTAGACTTCTTATGTTATTTAATACTGTTTCTCAACTACACATTTTTTTTTCCTTTTATTTTTGTAAAAAAAAATACATTATTTTCATATGCATCTTTATTTATTTTTTTGTTCCAATATTTTATTTTCTAAGAATATACGAAACACATTTCATAACTTCTGGGAAGAAGAGCATTTATTTAAGTTGTAAAACTAAAACCTGATCAATATGTATAAAAATATTGTTATAAAGGACTATACCTTTTGAAACAAAAACAAAAGAATGAAAGTGAAAATCAACCATTCACTAAAATGTTACAGGCATGGTGTGTTACCTTAAAGTAATATTTATTTTTAGGTCTCCCACAATTTTTATTTTTTTTAGTATGATAGGACTTCGTTGTGTAGAGTTTGACACAGCTGGGTTGTGTACAGCTGACAGTAATGGATTATGTAGAGAACTTACAGGAGGAATACCAATCTTCTGGAGGTGGTCCTGTAACAGAGAGGCCAGTTCATCGCGCATCACCTTCAGCGTCGGGTTCTTACGCAGTTCCTCCAGGAACTGGGTAGTTCTCAATGTGAGCTCCCCACTCCTAAAAAGTAATCACTTCAATATCATCAGCTCACAATCCATATAACATGGAGCCTAGATATTCCAGTCACCTTAATTCCCAGCAAAAGTGGCCGAATTTTGTAATGACTGGATTGATTGGACGCTTTTGTATAGAAAAAAGTCAATTGGTCTACGAAAACACTGCCTGGAATGTTGGACAACTGGACTTGTGGTGGCTTCACTACCAAGCTCAAGACTAAACTCCATAATTATGCAACCCACATTCAATTTATTACTTTCATTTAAAATCCCCTCATTATTATAGTTCACAAGCATAACTGCATTTAATCATGTATCTAGAGCACTTCAATGAGATTTTACATTCACAGATTTTATATATATGGACATATACAAATAAAGAAGCAAGAAATAAACATATTTCCAGCCTCTTTCGTAGCATCTTAAATTTGTCATTCGAGTACTAACAGATGAGGGGGAGCAGTTTGGTGAGAGGCATTTGAATGTAATGAATTCTGAAATATCAACACATATATCTTAGTGGTCAAGTGGCGCATTCACCTTAAACCAAGAAGACAGGGGTTTGATTTACCGATCTGATGTAAAAAGGTATGGGGTCACCTTCCAGACCACTCCTGTTTCCTCCCGCATTAAGATCCCCCTAGTGCTAACATCTGTGAGTGATTAAGATAAGTTGATTTAACTTGTTACATGTATTAATTGTTCTAAAATCAACAAACAAACAAAAACAAAAAATCACCTATATCTAAATATTAACTTTCTCAAGTGTCCCCATTCTATAAGCACTTTTACTTGTTGTACATAATTTTATTAATGAAATAAAGTTTATCATCATACATGGAGTAAATATTTCAATTTACCCTGATAAGAAAGGCTTACCTGTAGGTACTGTGTAGGGACTGGGTCAAGCTATGTGAAGCTGTGGCCATTTCTAGGGAAAAGAAAATTAGATTTAAAGGTTACACATATCGGAACAGGAAATTCAACCAGGTAGCAAATTTCACCATAAACTTTACACATATCGGAACAGGAAATTCAACCAGGTAGCAAATTTCACCATAAACTTTACACATATCGGAACAGGAAATTCAATCAGGTAGCAAATTTCACCATAAACTTTCTTTTTGAAAATTTGTGGTTAAATTCAAAAAAAGCTTTGGTCTTTACTTACTACTTTATACCTTGTGAATGCATTTTTATGAAAGTAACTTCTGTCTTCTTTGCTTCTTTCTTTTCAAGTGAAATTCAAGGAAGAACTTGGGGTATATATTTCCATTTATTTTAAAATTTCAAAATATCAAAATCCCTTAATGTATACATAGTATTTCTTTTTAAATATGAATTTTCAAACATTTATATTAAAATCACAAAAAATATTCTTTATTATAAAAAGCAAAAATTTAACTATGAACTATGAAATTTCAGGATTGTGATTCCGGAACATGTTTTAATACATATGTATCGATCTGTGACACGTATATGTATTTTTGTCCTTTCCCCATAGACACTATTACCGTATTTTACCGGTGATAAGCCCAGGGGGACTGTGCATGAAAACATGTCAAAAGTAGGGGGGTGAACTTATCACCGGATATATATGAGCCTGTGTTTTACAAGCCGTAAGCCCAGACTGGACATTGTGGTCCGCCATTTTGGTTCCAGATATCACAGCTTATCAAATTGGAACTTGTAGTAGATTGTTTTATAAATATATATGGTATGTAATTGTTCTGTTTCATATTACATGTACATATAAAACAGAAATTAATAACATTAGTACAGTTGTTTTGTATTACCTGTGGTTTCGTCGTCATCATCGTCACTTGGCATCATCATACTCCTTCCTTGACTAGAATTTCCAAGGCGTAGAGGAGTCACCTCACTCTGGGCTATTGCCTGCTGAAGTATACATCACATGGTCATCAGTAATTGTCATAGGGTGTGACTGATAGGTCTATAGACAGTATGTAGGAAACTGAAGTATACATCACATGGTCATCAGTAATTGTCTTAGGGTGTGACTGATAGGGCGATAGACAGTATGTAGGAAACTGAAATATACATCACATGGTCATCAGTAATGTCTTAGGGTGTGACTGATAGGGCAATAGACAGTATGTAGGAAACTGAAGTATACATTACATGGTCATCAGTAATTGTCATAGGGTGTGACTGATAGGGCAATACACAGTACGTAGGAAACTGAAGTATACATCACACTGTGATCAGTAATTGTCATAGGGTGTGACTGATAGGGCTATAGACAGAACGTAGGAAACTGAAGTATACATCACATGGTCATCAGTAATTGTCTTAGGGTGTGACTGATAGGGC